AAACTACTGTCGTGTTTCCTATTCTAAGTTAGTATTAAATGTATATGTCTTTAATTTTAACGCAAGACTAATTAATTTAACCCCAAAGATACCTTATAATATGCACTCATACTAACATTTAAAACGTATTGTAACAAAACTGTCTTTAAAATATTGCCTTACAGTATGGCAGTATGGATACAAATAAAAACATCCATTAGAAATGTCCCTTTTCCAATTTTAAACTAAATACATTTTTTACACTTTTAAAACTTAAATTTATTTAACTCGAATGTGCTTCAGTAATTTTTATACTCATATACCTATTTAATTGAATTCCTTCACTTTTAAGTTTTGATTCTTTTTTGTATAAAAGTTGTAATTTGTTAACGTGATTTTAATACAATCAAAGAAAGTTGACTCAATCTTGCACAACCTATAATGGGTAGAATGTAAATGAATCATGTACCTAATTTATGTATATTTTCTAATTTCGAGGTTACCTAAATGTTTATTAAAATGTTACCTAATACAATGACCTAGATCATGCAAAAACTCTTTCTAATTTTTGTAAACTGTTTAAAAATATGCAAAAAAACACCACCAATGTATTTCTAATTGGAATAAAATAATAATACTCACGAATCTAATAAATTTAAACAAAGCTTTTTTCATAATTAAAAATGTTAACTAGTTATTGATTCCCTTGTGAATGTTTAATAGGATTATACTAATATTATGTGGTTTTTTACCTAATTTATTGATATACCTATGTATATTTTTTTATTGGTCTTCAAATTATAAATTTCTGCTTCGACAATTAAGGCTATTAGCATTACATTTGTATATGTACATATATTTTAAATATAAGCATAACATAACTTTGACTATAAAAATAACTCTAATATTTAATTATTTTGATTGGAATAATATAAAGTGTACATTAAAAATCAAGTTCTATAAATATATTTTTACGGGTTAACTAGTATAATATATATGTCATATATTATATGTAAGTGAATTAAGAAAATGAAAAGAAATGACTTATTCTGACTGTCAGTAAAAATATTACCAATTAGTATGATGGCAGCAATGCTTGTGTTTTGCAAAAAACGCATAATAAAATAATAATATATTTATTGGTGACAACTAGTTGCTGTGCACACCCTTGATACCACCCCCCCCCCCCACACACACACACACACTACCTGCAAAATGGTTATATATATCTGGTGACTACGTTAAAATCGGGAATGATGCTCCGTGGATTCGCCTCAGAAAAAAATACAAATCCGGTAAAACATTTCTCCTCATCCTTTGAAAATGTGGGAAAATAAAAATTTACTCCCGGCGGTGGTGGTGGTGTGCAGCATATTATACGGGTGTATAAAATAATAATGCGTCGGCGGCGGCCGTGTGTGAATGTGCCGCCGCCACCACCGCAGCCGCAGATTGTGCCGAGGAGAAATAGTGTGTAAATGCCGTTACCGGTACCAATCGATCGCGGCGTGCACACGACTCGCACAGCGTTGCCGGATTGCGCACGAACACGCGAGTCCGCCACCGTTCGAAATTTCCGGCAGAGTACCCGCGGCGACGGTGCCGCCGCTGCCCAAACGGCAAACACAACTTACCATCGCTCTGCGGCGGGCGGTTTATGGGCGGCGGGGATGACACTCGCTCGAGCTCGGGCCACTTAATATCGTGCCATTTTCAATTCCGTAGACTTGAGATCTCACTCAAACGCGCATGCGCGCCAACCCTGAACCCTCCCTCCGCCGGTCGCCGGCAGTGATAATAATATAATTTATACAAATTTCAAATTGTTCCGCCGGGTTTTTCCGTATACACAAATAGGCGCACGTCCCGTACGAGCTTTTTAATAACGCTTTTTACCTGAGATACCCCCTTAATTTTTGAATTTGGAACTTTTCATTTTGTCCACCCACCAAGCACATAGTTTTTGCGACGGCAGTCATATTTCGACCCGCTGTTGGAGCACATAAAATAATAAATTAATCGTCATTCGTTTCCGGCCTGGTTGCGCTTGTTCTTACGAAAATCAACGTGTAGATCTTTTGGCTTCCGGTCTCTATTCCTATAGTACAGAAATCGCACGATTACCTTGTTATTTATTATCACACCGTATGATTCATACATTATTATATTGTAAAGTAAACCGACATCCTAGTCACCAGTTACCTATTAAAATTACTTATCGGCTAAAGTTATTGATCGGTTGCTCCAAATGGATTCCATTCCGTACTCATTACCAATAGTATCAATTGTAGTTATGTGTATCTAATATTGTTTATTCTTTGATTTTCGGACGATTCTAATAATAAGACCGCAACCGAATTTGTTTACTGTTTATTATACAAAGCCGGGCAGCTAAGGATCATGACAAACGGTTTATCTTGAAAACATATTCGATACTTCCTACACTCTTGGGGTGATCAGTAGTTCGTGGCTTCGTGCTGCCGAAATGGAGCCATAGGGGGGGGGGGCATTATCAATATGTCATACTACAATGAAATATTCAAATAACCAATAGTTCCCCTTAATTTTTACCACCCAAATTTTGACAGTATACCTTACTTGTTGTTTGGTTTTGTTTTAAAGACTTATTAACCGTTACATTATACATTTGTAGAAAATTGTTGTCAAATTCCAAAAATCATATTCGGTTACAATACAACAAGCGGAATAATTATTGTCTATGATATTATTTTCTGCTGACCTAGAATTGTTATGTATGTTTTACATAAAAATGTTTGATAAGCAACCCTAAAATGTGATTAAGAGTGTTTCTGAATAATTTCTAATTGCTGTGAATTCATATTTGTGTGCTTAGTAGAATTTTGAATTAATTTCTTCGAATATACACTCAAACGTTTAATACCTATACTGACAACAGATTCTTAAAGATATAAATTATCATTTCGTCGTAATTAAAATACATTTTCTTAAAATAAAAATTGTTGACAAGAAATTCCGATTATTAGATATTTTTTTTTTGTGTGATGTACCTACTTTTAAAGTACCCATTGAATCATATCCAAAGTATCAATAATTAAAAAAAATATTTCGTACATAGCCACATAGGGTATTACATTAAAATTAAATTTAACGTTGTGGATGTTTTAATATTTTTTTTATAGATTTAAATGAATTTAAGCTATCTTAATATCGATCTAAAAATGTAGTTTTCCTGTGAGATTTAGATTTGTGACAAACAAAAAAATTATAATAATATATTTTAAGACAAACTGCGGCAAACGGACCTTGGACGATGTTTAAGAGATTACAGTTAATTTCTAATTGTTTTGTTTATATTATACACTATACACATGATCATTCAATTAAATCACATTATATCTAATAGTCATTATTTCTGATAAACTGTAATTTCAATTTGTATTTGAATACAAGTGTCCAACTATAAATATAATATATTTAACATATGTTTATCACAATAAGATATCACAAACATTTATAGTAAGAACATTTGACACCTTCTGGACTGACTATCAAGATCTATTGGAATTAAGTGTCAAGATATGTCTATTATCTATAATTTTAACGGGAAAATTTTAATTTTATTATTGTTACTTTGGTTGATTTAATAATATTTATTGTGTTATGAGTATTACATTTTGTATTTAATTACAGTTTAAAGTTTATTATTGTACCTACACCTACCTAATGGTCATGAATTGATATTAGTGCACATTAGTTTCTTTGTGGCACTCTGTATTCATTTTGCATGACAAACTCTCTCTTTTCCAATTATGGTCATCATCTACACATTTCCATCACTACATGACTTATTTACTAATTATTTGTTTTACGTTTCTTACCGTCCTTCTACCAAATTATTAAATCTCTTTACGGGAATCCTCGTATAGTGATTAAAATTATGTAAATAATAAACATGGTGTACTTATATTATATTATGATAACTACGACAAATCAGATACCCACTCATTAGTCAGTAATTCATTAATTTCATAAATCGTATTACTTTTCAAGTACCTACAACTTAAAATAAACCATTATATTTGGATATTATCTTTATTCTTACTCTAGATTAATAATGGATGTACCCCCAACTAAATGAACCTCAAATCATTATAACATATTAATCTATGGGTAATTTTAAGATTCAAATATTCTTTTGAAATTATATAACCAGTTATAACTTGACTTTAACTACTTTTGGCTATATAACTACATAATAATATAACAAATATAACTACAATGGTACTGTAAAATGATATTTAAAAAAATTTATTTTTCTAATTTATCTGATATGGTTTTAAAATAATAATTAATATCCCACCTTGATAATTTTTGTTTCATATGATTTTAACTTTGATATTAGTAGGGTTCAGTCTTAAAAAAACCTTCAAGAATAAGGTTCTAATTGCAGGCGTATTAATATTCAATATTATGTCACCTAAATAGCCTAAGCACTTGAATACTATTTATTCAATAACTGTCTTTGATAATTATATTGATTGTTAAATTATAGTTTTAAAAATATTATATCAAACACTTTTACGTATCTTATATCCGGTAAATGGACGTTTCATCCCTATAAAAAGAAACCAGTCAACTGACAGTTTGTCCATGTCAATTATTAAGATAAGACATATGGTCTCCGGGAGTTATAAGGCGTTCTTTAGCTATAGTTCACTTATACTATTTAAAAATTAAATTTGACTGATGAAAATTGTATAATATGTAAGTGATATAGCTTATATTTTACTAGTATAAAATATACTGGCATTTTATGTTTTATAAAAATAATTACTTATACCAAAAAATAAAAATTAAATGGTCAAAAAAACACTCAACACTAGGGCGTGTTCATTCAAAAGCTTAAACTGTCAATGGTCCAGTAATATATACTATGTCACTTAGCCTCTTTTACCTTTTACCAGTCTATAATATGTTTAATATATTATTAATTTAATTTGCATTTGATTTTATGCTATAACTAATGTTTTTGTATTTAGGTACTGGTGAATCGGGGAAATCCACGTTTATCAAACAAATGCGGATTATCCATGGTTCTGGTTACTCCGACGAAGACAAAAGAGGGTTCATCAAACTAGTATACCAAAATATATTCATGGCCATGCAGAGTATGATCAGGGCCATGGACATGCTCAAAATACATTACTCTGATCCATCATGTTCTGTAAGTAATTACTAATCAACACAATACTAGATTTTTGGATTAGTGATTATTAAAAATGTTGAAAGAAGAGACTACTCAATTTTTATATTTTTATTCTTAACATAGTCAGCATAACAGATATTGAATACTCTCTCATGCATAGTGGCGGGATTTTAATATTTATATATATACACGCTATATTACAGAATTATCTATGTACCTATTTCAAATATACTGAAATACGAACCTCCCTCCCAGAAAAAATATTGAAAATTTGCCACTTCTTGTACAACATATTCCCTAGTTGCCTGCTTTTTTTTCTTTTAATATCTAAATTTCAAACAATATTGAATAAAATATTAAAAATTCACAAATACAAAAATAATATACTGTCTCATGTTGTAATATTTATAAATATATTTTGAAGGAACGTGCGGAGCTCATTAAAAGTGTAGATTTTGAAACCGTCACGACATTTGAAAGTCCATACGTCGAAGCGATCAAAGCACTCTGGGGAGACTCTGGCATTCAAGAATGTTATGATCGCAGACGCGAATACCAGCTCACAGATTCTGCTAAATAGTAAGTACAAAAAAAAATTCAGGGCTACATGTTATGTATTATGATATATTATCTAATGTATAAAGATGCATTTAACATGGATCCAGATATTGGTTACTGAAATCTATCTATCAGTAAAATGTACGACCAACATAAGTTAAACCACCTACATAAAAATGATATGTATGAATTTCAAATTCCTTTTATAGTTATATTATGATTACTGATTAGTAACAAAGAAAGCAGTACAAACTCTACAACTTTTAGTTACATAAGACATACATAATAATAATTAATGAATTGAAAATAAATACATATTAATTTGTTATAATGACATTTATAGTTTAATATTATGGGTTTGAATGTTTGTTTGTGTTTAAATATTCTCCAATAACGTTATACTCGTTTACAGTTATTTAATGGAAATAGACAGAGTGGCCAGTCCAAATTATCTGCCCACAGAACAAGACATACTTAGAGTAAGGGTACCCACGACGGGCATTATCGAATACCCGTTCGATCTAGAAGAAATTCGGTTTAGGTAAAAATAAAAAAGCATGATATACAATTTTAAATGTAAAAGTTTTTTGCTTGCGCATGTGTTTATAATGTGTATCTATTTCTCTACATATTATTGCCAATTTATTTTTAAAATGCATGGATGTTATTGTTTATTGCTAATAATACTAATCAAACACACTACATAGGCTATTCCTTCAGTGGTTTCTGCGAAATAAATATAACAGTAACATAAACATCATGTTCTAATGTACACTGTAAAACTAAAATATGCATACCGACTAGAAGTTGTGATAGGGTAACAGTGTTAAAATTCAAAAATTAACAATACTTTACAACTACTTAATTTTTAAATCTACTAATACCAAATCATAAAATGTATTTGATAACTTATAGTATTTTTTAAATAAGAAATGTATCTAAAACATATATACATAATAATATTTCACACAGTTACTTAAGCGACTTACCAAGAATCGAGGCCCCCGATTATTTACCTACCGAACAGGACATTCTACGTGCTAGGGCTCCAACTACAGGCATTATCGAGTACCCTTTCGATCTTGATGGTATTGTCTTCAGGTATCATTGTAAAACATGTACATTACAAAAACCTTAAGTATCCTGATGTAGCTAACCCAATAAGTCATTATGTTCTATGCTCCATAAAAAATTCAATGAACATATATTATTTACCTATTTATGTTAATTAAACTAATCATATTTAGTATTTGTGCTATTAACCTGTCAATAGTCTTTTGACTAGTTATAATCACAACATTACGTTTTAAGGTGTTGCACTTTGTTTGTTTAAATGGCTTTCTTCAACATTGTTTTAGCTTTTAATTATTTATTATTATTATTGATATTGAGAGTAAATTATCAATTTATTAGTATTGTGCTTTATTTATTATTATTTTTTTTTTAAAATAAATTATTTTACCATTAAGAGAATTGTCATAGCTTTTTTTATTATTTTGCTTAAAAAAAACGATCTAACAAATGCTTTTTTATATTAAGTACATTTTGGTATACTTTAGTATAATTTTAATTTCAATTTTTTTCAATAACAACAAATATTGACATTTAGGATGGTTGATGTTGGAGGCCAGAGATCAGAAAGACGAAAATGGATCCATTGTTTTGAGAATGTAACATCTATCATATTCTTGGTGGCACTTAGTGAATATGATCAGATTCTTTTTGAATCCGAAAATGAAGTATGTATTATTGTATTTTACATATTTTATTTAAGTTTGTATTTTATTAATTTTTTATGTTATAATTTAATTTCAGAATAGGATGGAAGAATCCAAAGCATTATTCAAAACTATCATAACATATCCTTGGTTCCAACACTCATCTGTAATATTGTTTTTGAACAAAAAGGATCTTCTCGAAGAGAAAATCATGTATTCTCATCTGGTAGACTACTTTCCAGACTTTGAGGGTAAGTATTTATACTTAATAACATATCACAAATATTATTGTTTCATAGTACAAATGACAAACTGACAATATCTAATGTTTGAACATAAGTTAACTTACAAAAACAATAATTTTAGTTTTTGTTAAAAAAATATAAATTGTTTAAGTTAGGTATGTCTTTTATATTTAAAAATATCTGACTTATAATTCTTTGAATTAATTACTTATGTTTTTGTCAACAGAATGCTCTTAAAGTATCCCGGTGCTAATTTTCCAAATTTTACATAAATGTATAACATTTTATATTTTAGTTGCTACTTAAGAGGATGCTACACCTTCATGTGTTGTCTCCATCTTACAAGAGCATAATATATCAAATTTTACATTCAGCAGATCACGTTTAGCTCAGTTAGATTAAAAATTAGATTGAATTGACTTCTTATTAAATTTAAGGTTTTTTTTTATTAGAAATAAACAATCTATACAAGTAATGTACAATAAGCTTATGTGTTAAGAGGACGCCACACCCGCATGTGCTGTCTCCGTCTTACAAATGTACAACATAGCAAAAACTGTTTAGCGCGGGACAACTTTTCTCGCACCATATTTGTTGTAGAATTGCCAAATTTTCACAACACGTAAAGAAGAACTTTATCTGTGCAACAGCGTCCTTTTTTTTTAAATTACACTTTCCAATCATTTTTTATAAGCAAATGAAAAAAACAAAAAAAAACAAAATGTTTAGAAGCAAATAACTTTTATTGTATTTATGTTATCTAAAATATAGGCACGCTGTTGCATAGATAATTTTCTACTCGATATGTTCAGAAATTTTGGAGCCACTACTACAAACACAGAAAGATAAAAGTTGTCCCGCGCAAAACAGTTTTTGCTATGTTGTTCCTTTGTAAGACGGAGACAACACATACGGGTGTGGCGTCCTCTTAAGAGAATACTGGACGTGGGAAATTGAATAAGAAGCCGCCCACTGGCAACACTTAGCATGAGTTATTTATGTATATATATTTTTTTTCTAATTAAAGGTAAGACTATTACGGAGGGCTTCTTGTGAGCTTTTTATTACATTTCAATTTTAAAGAGAGTTAAAGTTGTACAAACAATTTACAATTTTTAAATACTCATAACTTTCTTTAAAATTTATTTTAAAAAGCCTATGAGAAGCCTCCCGCATCAATCTTACCTTTAATTTTAATAAGAGCTCATCTCTAATTTTTAAGCTAACTGAGCTAAACGTGATCTGCTGAACGTACAATTTGATATGTTACGCTCTTGTAAGACGGAGACAACACATGCGGGTATAGCGTCCTCTTAAGTAATAATATTTTTCCACTGATCTACTGCCTGAAACATGGTATATTTTAACAAAACTGACTTCACATGAAAAGGTCAGGCCACTTAGAATTTTCTGATTTTTTATTTTAAAAAAGAAAACATTTTAACTCTGATTTTTATCTTATTTCAAATAATGGTAGGCATAAAATAATTTGTTAAAAAGCTTAAATTTTTTTATAATATTGGTGTTGAATATTTCTCTATTAATTTAAAAAAAATTAAATTTTGTTGATCCCACAGGACAGGATCATTATTTATGTAGATTGTATTTATGAGGTTAAAACAACATCAAAGGCACCAGGCGCCTTAAAAATAAAAATATACTGTTTGGTTCCAACATATTCTATGTACTTGATATTTAAATAGAATATTGTCTTTTATTATATGTAGTTACAAATAATGTACAACATGTGGATCGAAGCATTCTCTTTATAAGCTAAATTTAGTGTAGGTACTAAAATTGTTGATATTCGTTTAATATTTGGCCTACCTTATTGTTATACGTTTATGTTTAATACTTTTAGTCAAAATCATAAAATGATGTTATATTATCACTATTAATTAATTAGTGATACAAATATGAAATAATACAAGATTACATTTAATAATGTCATATCAGTAAAAAAAATGGATGAATATTATGGTATACAAAATACACATGTATATACATAATATACCTTTTAAAGCAATATGTCGAAATAATTTTAAAAATGTCATAAAATTATTTTATTTCAAAAATATATATCTTCATATATCAGTACTCGTACGGCCATATGTTCTTTGTACATAATATAGTTAATCGTCTCGGTAGGTCACATTTTAAACAAATGCCAAATTTTTAATCATTAGTTTTAATTAAAAATTAATACTTTTGTTTTTTTGCATTTTTATAAAAAACTTATTTTGATAAATAGGTAGTAAACAAGACAATGATGCTGCCCAGCAATATATTTTGAAAATGTATCTTAAAACAAATCCAGACCCCGATCGCATGTGTTATTCACATTTTACAGTTGCTACAGGTTATATATCTATAACATAAACCCTTTGTCCTGTAAATTCCTGTGAATTTCACATTACCGGTTGTAATTTGTTCATGTGTATTGCATATTACCTTTTTATTACTTTTAAACCTTGCCCCTTTCTAGTCGTTATTTTAGTAGTTTAAAACTTACAGTAGACGGCTGAAAAATTGTAAAAATAAAAAATAAAAAAATACTTTACATTTGTTATATTTTATTAAAAATTTAGGTCAAGCTCTTGTTTATTTTTCATTATAACACTACTAAATATTAACTTAATCAAATGATCAATCATTTAGTTCAATTAGGTACTACACCTATATTAAATTTTTGATTCATTATCTGGTTACTTGATATCTAGCTTAGGGATTTGTTGTGATATTTGTTATATTCTTAATTTTAAGACTTCTAATTGATGATTCTGTTTAAAAAAAATGGTGCATAACACCCAATTATTTGATTTTATATTTATAACCAATATAATTGTCTTAGGTCCTCAAAGGGACGCCATAAGTGCACGAGAGTTTATACTAAGGATGTTTGTGGATTTGAATCCTGATAGTGAGAAAATAATTTATTCACATTTCACATGTGCCACAGGTATTTAACAGAATTGATAATCGTTGTGCATGAGCTTATGGGACTTCTGGTTTTTTTGTGTGCATTGTATTCAATGTGGTTATGCATGTTATAATAAAAAAGAATGAAAGTTTATATTTTTGCAGTTCAACATTTACCAAACATCAGTTTTATTTTACATAATATTGTATACTTCAATATTTATTTGGTGTTGAGTATTTTTTCTGCCAGGGTGTTGTAAAGAAGCAATTTTAAATTATTTATTCAAATATATGTATAGTTAATGACCTGGACTTATCATGTAACTATTACTGTGTACAAATAATTTTTTATCTTGATGTTATTAATAGAATCCAAAAACTATCCGTGTAAACAATTAGTGTAAGCTATAATTTCTCAGTTATTATACAATTCCTATTATTTTAATTTAATCATTTTTTTTTTTTTTTACATGGAATAAAATTAATTAATTAAATTACAATATTAATTATGTTATGTTTCTTCTTTACATGCTGCTTGTTTTTACAACAAATCAGATACGGAAAATATAAAACTGGTGTTTTGTGCTGTTAAAGATACAATTATGCAAAGTGCTTTAAAAGAATTTAATCTAGCTTAATTGTTATTACTTATTATTATTATTATTATTATTATTATTATTATTATTATATTATTATATTGTTATCATTATTATTACTCTTTATTATTGTTATTTAAAAATAACAATTCTAACAGTTATCAGAACATATTTTATTTTGATTGTGTTTTATTGAAAGTTATTAAATCAATAAAATTATATATTTTATTTTACTTAGTGTGTTTTGTCTTTTTTTAATAATTTATATACTAAATTGTTTTAATGGTATATTATACAACACATTTCATGACTTAAAAGCTATATTATCTAGTATCTACTCATAGATTTTGCATTTTCTTGTGGGTTTTTAAACTGTTAGATTATGTGCTTGAAATACTGAACCATAATTTTTGCATGCTGATGGTTGTCAATAATTTCTCATTATGCATATGATTTTCTTAAGGTAATATCAAACATTTTTAATTTACTAACACTCAATATATATATATACTTTTGCATGTTTTTTTGTTTAATAACAACACAAGCATGTCTTTTGAAATATGGTACTATAGAATCTAGATTAAAATGCAGCCAATTAAACAATTAATTAAATGTATAATAACTTATTTTCAGATACCGAAAACATTAGATTTGTTTTTGCGGCAGTGAAAGACACCATACTACAATCCAATCTCAAAGAATACAACCTTGTGTAATGTTGCACAAATAACGCGAAACCCCATATGTTAATATTTTTTACTATTATAATGTTAAAATAACAATACGATTAGTATAAATCCTAATTATATACAAAAACAAACAACAAAAAAGTTAAAAAAAAAAAAAACGAGAAAATGTATCCTATGTTTTTTGTACAATATTTTTAACAGAGTACGTTTTCTCTCACATTTTTATCTCCATGAGTGTCAGTTTGTTAATGTTGGTGTCGTGTGTGAGTCGGTGTAAATCCGTCATGATTTCGATAACATAACATATAAAGGGTAACTTAAATTTTTTTTTAATACAAATTTTTTACTCATGTAAAAATTAATTGAAAGAAAATTATGATTAATACTTTTTATAAGAGCGCATTTTTTTTAATTTAATTTAATTTTTTTTTTAATTTAAAAAAAATATATGGTTAATCTCCTATATGTTCATTGCATTTAACCCTTATGTTATAATAATTATACAAACTATATAATATTTAAATATTTTAAAAAAATGTCAATATGAAATACATGTACATAAATCTAATGAGATTAAGAAATTATTAATATCAGAATATAAATGTTTAAGTGTAAGTAAAAACAAAACAATTAAACAAAAAAAACAAATGTTATTTCCTCACCCACCCTCCCTCCCCCCCCCATTTACCCAATTAAGTATAATTGTTTTCTTAAATGAAAAATTATTTTTATTTTATTAACATCATGAGGTGGAGGTTTTACTTGTGCAATTTTAATAATTTATTAAACCCTTGAAAAATGTGTAAGGGTAGTTCTAGTCAGTCTCGTTTAAAACTATAAAGCATACATTTTAAGCAAAATATTGTGAAATTTTCTGAGTTACCTGTGTAAATTTTATTGATTAAAAAAATGTAATTTTTGGTATTTATATTGATAATCTATGGGAAACATCTCAACATTGTGCTCACCCCATTTTCGCTCTGTATTTTATTTAAATTTTAAGACACTCGTTTTACTTGTTATTATTATTATTATTATTATTATTATTATTATTATTATTATTATTATTATTATTATTATTATTTAATATTTATACATATAATTATATGTGTTTGTTTGTGTGTGTGTGTGTGTGAATGTGTGAGTGAATACATTATGCTTAGAAGTCGAGAGAATTAACCTCGACAATCAAAACATATTATACTATCAACAAATGGCGCTAATTTTTTCTTATTTTTTAATAATTGTTAACATTATTTTCAAAATTGAGAAGACCCTCCCAAACAATAAAAAAAAATTATCAAAATAAAATAGTTGTAGTAGTAGTAGGAGTCAACCTTAATAACTATGATGGTTAACAACATAACTATTGCTTGTACTGTCTTGTACGACGGATACACACACACGCACGGGCATTGTGTACACCTCAAACACTGTTCTGAGCCGTTTACGTATTAGAATAAACTATTGACGTTTAGACCAGCGCTCTTCTGCTTTACTATTTGTTTGCGTGAAGATGACCAGTTCGCAATTTCAACGAAACATGAGTATCTAGTTAACAGTGATCTAATTCCCACCTATTTCTACTTCTGCTACTACTACACCTCTGCTGTTTTCATTACACAGACCAAAAACAGTGTTCTTAATCAGTATCTCATCTTTCATATTTATTTTTTCGGAAGTAATTTAGTGAGAATTTTCAAATGTATCATCGGACTGACCTCGTAATAAATATATATAATGTACGTCTAATAATAATGTTATTATAATTAATTTTTCTGGGGTGATCACATCAACTCGACCACCTGGTGTATTTAAAATTTAATGTATTTTTTTTCCTTTTTCCATTGTATAAATATTGTTTTATACTATTGCAAGCCATTATTTTCAATACTTTTATAATATGATATGGTAATAAGAGAACATAAAATATAAAAACGACTATCGTCGCAAGTAAATATGTTATGTATATTTTATTTTATTTTTGTTTTTTTATCAACAGTCAAACACAAATAAAATATACACATATTGTATGGATAATTGACGTTACATGTTTTGTAAGCCACATTTTATTATTTATATTCTGATATTAAATTTTTGGTTTTATTAAATTATGTTATATTTTTTCCGTTTTTTTTTTAATTAAAGAGAAATGCTGCCGGTTTTTTTTTTATTATTATTATTTTTTTTTTTTTTGTTATATTTTCTTATCGGTCATCCGATAAAACTAGTGCAATTTCACTTTAAAATTATATGCAAACATAATTATTAAAAAGTACTTAGTCAAAGTGTTACCTGTTAGTTTACAGTACTAACGAAAATATGTATGTACATAATATATACATCTATCATATATGTATATGTATAAAAAAAAATTATTTATATATACATAAATGTTCATGTATAAAAAATTGTTTTAATAACAATCAAATGTTGGATAAAAAAATATTCCTTGAGTTCATTATTTTGATACACATGTATATAGTTTTTTTTCTGTGTGATGTCTAATGTGAATTTTTTTTCAAAAAGAAAATATACAATTATATCGCTTTTTAAATGGTTCTTTTTCATTTCTATTTTTACAACATACATAGTATTGTATATTTCAGTTTTCGTTTTCAAATTAATAACAATACAAAATATTTGAAAAAGACTTTCATTTATTCCATGTTATTGTTCATATTTTGGTTTTGATTTAATAAGTTATATTTTGACCAAAAATGTTAAAAATTATTTTCTATTTTTTAAATTATATTATTTTTCCATATTTTCATTTCAAAGTTGACATATTTGAGTTTATTATTATTCTATGTTATGATTTTTTAGATTTTTATTTACTGACTTTGTGTTAACAATATATATTTATATATATGTAGATCCTTCAACTTATATTTTTTGTTTTCTCTGGCAACTATATTTATCAATTTAAATGTAGTCATGCATTGGATATTAACAATTCATTGAATCTTGGTAAAACTATTGAGACGTTCAAAGTATTTTACTCATAGATAATATTATATACTATTGTCTATGATTGTACCGCATATTGATGTAATCATCATAAATTTCTGTAATTTAACTAAAAAAAAAACCATATGTGTTTACAGCTGCAAATACAATGTTTAACCACCAACAATAGGAAAAACAATAAACAGATATAACATTTAGTTATTAATCATGATAATCTATCAATTTATTTTGCTCAATGTTGACCAGTTAGTTATCATTACATTTTTTTGAATTTCAGTGGTAAAATTATACAACTACCAAAAGTTATTGCTATATTAAAATAACCTCTATTCGATAACTATCAAATATTGCCTTGGTTGAATTTTAATTATTAGGCTGTATGTTGTGTTCTCTTGAAATTGTATTACCTATTACTAAATTTTCACCCCAATATTAGTTTTTAAACTAATATTTTTAATGTGTGTCACTTATTTTTTCAGTGATATTAATTTTAAACATGAAGTACATAAAAACTGCTAATTTTTATAATTTTAAGAAAAAAGACATAATACACTTCAAATGAGCTTAATTTATTTAGTTCAAACAACCCAATTAATCATCTATTATGAGGTTATTTTCGATAGGAATACATTTCAAATAGTATTTGTTACATAATATGTTCTATGTGCCCCTTGTCTCCTTATGACATAATTAAGCTATTTAATTTTATAGCCATTAATGTTCATTAAGAAATTAACAACTGTCATCTTTTAATAAATGAGATTTGTTAAAAATAGAAAGTTGAATATTGCATCAAACATTTTAAAAATGTGTTTTAAAAAATGAAAATAAATGAATGTTATAATACAATCTACTAACACCTCATTTACCAGGTATAATAAAAACATCCTTAATTACACAAATAATTATATGTTACTCAATGTGATATTAATGAATGTTACCCAGTGTTTTAAATAGTGCCTAGTAAGACATTTTTCATTGTAATTGAATAAATGTATATTTACATCAAGGCCTCAGTAAGTCTCCATCTTGTAGGAGGTATAGGTGCCTTAAGTTTGGTAAAAACCAATGACAGGATTATGAAACTTACCCTTATGTGATTTTATAAATAAAACTATGATATTATTATTATAGCATGTTGGTTAGTCATGCAAAGCAAATTATATTGTGCTGAGAACTGTTCTCACTTGAATAGAGTATCAAATACGTTATTAATATGATGTAATGTTTATATTTCCTGGTATTTAATAAAAAATATGTGTAACATTTTATTGATTGATACAAATTAGTTGAATGATAATTTTTTCCCTGTATACTGAATACCACAATTACTTAATTACAAACCTAATAATTAATTAAATGAAAATAAAGTAATTCATAACTATTGTCTAAAAGGTAGATGTAACAAAACATCATCAGAAAATAACACTGTACTGTAGAAAAAGGAACATAAAAGAAAAATTATTTATTAATTTACCAATATTTGACACAATATTATGTACTATAACTTACAGCTGTTTGAATAACTCAATTTATGAATGCGTTAATGAATAATAACTAATATGAATCTTTATTCTTAAACTTATTTAAAACTTTTATAAAAAAAGGTGGGCAAATGGATACTGTGTCTGCTGTATGGTAAGTGTTGAGTGAGTAACTAACGGATATATCAAATTTTAAACTCAATGCAATGAACTTTTTCACCTTGTGTCCCCTCCACCTCTAACATTTAATGAATATCGTTCAGTATTTTGTATTGTTTTCATTAAGGACTAAATAAACATATTTCCTGGAACTGGGATAGCTAATAATCATTGGCAGGTGGTCACCGTTATTGCTAGAACAATTCCAGTTTAGCTCCCAAGCAATATTTTGGCCATTTTATTTTTCAAAATGTGTATTTTTGCTTGATTAATTTAATGGTACTTCCGAAAAAAAGTCGCTCAAACTTCATTTGGAAGTGAACACAGAAAATGGTATAATAAACATTTTGTGCAAATTTCAAGTACATAGTTACAGTTATTTGTTTATGTTATGCCAAAAACAAATCAAGTTTGCATAAATTCCCAGTTTTTGTAGATTTTTTTTGGTATTTCCTGATGCTTGAAATCTACTGAGAATTTTCAAATTGGACCTCTCTAAAGTACTAATTTTCCCACCAGAAAAATTACTGGAGTTAAAAATCAATACATTTGTTCCTCTGCTAAGAATCTAAAATATTGTCAGGAAACAGGAATCGTAACAAACTTTTGTACACATAATTATAAATTCTCATCTAATCAAAGAATATAATAAATGTTTTTTTTTCTTGTTTTTCAATATTATTATATTGATCCTACTATAACTCATATAAAAAATAAAAACTACATGGATTCAGTTGATCTAATGGTGCTAATTCGTCATGCGCTCTATAGGTTTTGCCATTCTATACTCGGTCAACGTTGGGATATTGAAAATATTATACTACATATTGCCTCGTTTTTATATGTTGGGTATTTTTTATGATTTAATCTTTAATCATCTCTAATAATTTTTAGCTTAAATTATATTAGTCGTCTTTTTGTTTCAGTTACATAGCAATAGCGCTCACAGAGGTTATTTGTTACAAATGTAATATTCATTTTCTTAATATTTTATTTGTTTGTGTATTATTTATTGATTATGGAGGCTATGATGATGTTTCATGAGTTACATACTATAATAGTACCATATAAGATTGTGTGCCATCAGTTTTTTATAGAAAAGAGATTGTTAAAACAATGCCCCTTGTCATAATTACGGCACAGAAATGTAGGTAATACGATGGAAATGGGGAGTGGATGGTCATTTTTTGGTGTCCAAAAAGAGGCTGTCAGACAACAAGATGCCACGACTGGTAGCAGCTTTTTTCATTTTACTGACTTGAACCAATATTGTAACAGTGCGTTAACACCTTGTCAAATTGTTGAACTTGTGTTTATGTTAGTTTTGGAATTGCCCATTCAAATGGTAATGGACTGGACTGGGAGAAGCAATGTGTACGTCACAAACTATTTTAATGTGCCGAGAAGTATGCACAGTTGTTTTGAAGACTAAAAGAAAAATGGTCGTAAATGCACAAAATCTAATTCAGATTGACAAAGCTCGTACTTTGGAGATAGACTATTAGCTGGAGACACTCCTCCTTCCTTGACAGATATAAATACTAAACAAATAACCAAAATCACGTTAGCTCGTGAAGGCGGCCCCTGAGTAGGTAGTTGGTTTAAGAAATAGAAATGCTTGCCATTATTTGTATGTTCGTTGACACAATCAGGAAACACTTCAACCAATAATAGAACATGAATGCGAGGCAGGATTAGAAATTCATTCTAATAAATAAGCTGAATATAGATGCACCCTCAGACAGTAGAACACCAAATTTCATAATATGTCAATGCAAATACAGGAGCCCACACTCAAAACATTGAAAGGTCATAGTTGGACACAAAAATTAACTATTGAAGAAAATAAGGGGTGTTCCTTTAAATCATTTGCAGTCCCATTTAAATCACTGTTGATGGCGACCTTACCGTCAAGACAGACAGGACCTTTTTCTCGCCATATTAGAAGACATTCAAAATGTGAATAATCAATAAAATAAAACACGATCAAAACGACATATGTAGAGCACTTATCTAATTATACTTCCACTCTAGCCTCTTATTTTTCCTAATATTGAATCAATTTCCAACTAGAACATATACATTATGTCTTACTTCTACCCAACCTTAGCAACACTAGATTGAATAAGTATCTCAATAATCTAAATGGTACTACGTACATTGTACTTCCATTCAATACTCACTTATATATATCACATTTCCTAGTTGGTTTTATAAAATTCTCGTGTTACCCTAATGGCATACTTTTGTCATACAGCTAGCAACTGTCATCAATAATAACAATAAGTCAATGAGTTTTTAATACATTTTATTGGTTAGTTACACAATTATTTAATACAATTATTGCGTAAAATAATGTATTATTATCAACAGTTTAAAAATTTAATTTAAAAAAAAAAAAATTGTAAAATATGTTAATTTTAGAGACCATCTCAGAAAAAAAATTACACTTCTAATAGTGATTATGTACTACCTACTTTTACAGTTCACTAAACAGCTAAAATATATGAATTTTCAACTAAAAAATTGTTCTTTATATGAAATTATTTTAATAATATTACATTTTTAAATTAGAGGACAGTCTATTCATACTTTTATAACAAATGAAATGTTCCTTCATGTTTAATATGATTATAGAAAAATACATTATATTTTTCAACCGGCTTATTCATTATAGTATTTATAGCATTCTGGGCTACCAATGCGCCAATTATTGAGGTGGTTGGACTCAATTCGCAAAATAATTCACTAAAATAAAAATTTCATATTAGTTAATATAAATAGTGCATGTATAGTTATAATTATTTATATAATTACCCATAGTATTCTTCAAATTCATCATCTGTTTTTTCTTGATCTGGAGATGAGTAATCGATTTGATGATGAATAATTGATTTCAATTCGTCTATATCTTCTTCAGACGTATCAGGATTTGGCTTACGATGAGAATCAGTTTGAAATTTTAATAAAGCTAAAAGAATCACATAAAAATTTTCAATTATTTTCTTCAGACACTAGTTACAATATAACCAACAATAACATCTATTTAATGTACCTGAAGTCAAATAATATAGCAGCGGCTGTTTCTTTGTTACAGTATCGATTTGAGCATTGTTTGAAAATACCTCACCATATAGAGGATGAGCATGAATCCTAAAAGATAACATAAAAATTAAATATTTAAAATTACAGTCAAATCTCTAAATATCAAACAATACTCTCAGTCACTAAAAAACATTGCACCTATATCAAATAATAATTATTCCGGAAGATGTGTAAAACGTTTAGACATTTTCAGCTTAAGTTCTATAAAAAGCATCTTAATTTTCTATATCTACAATTTATGTTTAACTAACTTTAAATAACTCAAAATAGCACAACGATCATACTTGTATTTGAAGCTCAAAATTCAAGAATTTAAATTTTTTAGTTTAACTTTTTCTTTTAGCGGCCATTACGTAATGTATAGGTATATATTATGTATTTAAATTACAATCAAGACAACTTTACATGAGATAAATTAGTATAATATTTTTAAAAACACAATAGGATGAAAATAATTGGTAATAGTAATAATTTAGAACTTCCACATGTACACTTTAAACTATTCCACAATTAGTATACATTTACTCTAAAAAATTAATAATATACCGTAAAAGTTTCATCATTAAGAGTGGCATGTATTTTAAAGTTTTCATTAGATAAGTATTAAAAATGTCCGCTTTTTTCCCCGCCATAAGAGAGGTTTCACTGTTTTATTTTTTTTATTAATTATTAAATTACTAATTACTTACACATCTTGGTAAAAATATCCAAATAAACCATAAACATCAGCTATGAATAATTTTACATTAGCTTTCCTGCAATTTTCACTCAGTCTTTTATAAGTACTTGGAGAACATTCTGTGGCTATGACAACATCAAACGAATTAACAAAACTATCCACGTTCTCTTCGATTGGTGTTGTATCGACTATAACTTTGACATTTGGGTTTAGCTTTTGTGCAGCACTCAAACTAGCTTTAGCACGCTACAATTATATAATAATTATTAAAACAACTGTATTACAATTTAACCATAGTGATAACGAGATGCAGTACTTACATTACGTTCTTCGCTATCGCGTGGGATAAGGAACTGGGAACAACGGTCTAATATGGACACTTCTGTATGATCCTTCAAGGTAATAGAATTAACGCCAGACAATATCAAATTTTTAGATATCTCTGCGCCTATGCCTTGCATTCCGATTAAAAGTATTTTCGAAGCTCTTAACCTATAATATGGTTATGTTAGACTACACATGACACAAAATTTAACCAACTCGTTTCCAACACATACTTGTTTTGTCCATCGTAGCCCCACAGCCGTATTTGCCGGTCATAAACTTTGCGTTCATCTTTTGACATTTCACCGTCACCATTTTTCACAATTTCGGAATCCATCTCGTAAACAATAGAATGAGTCACAGGTACTGAACTTTACTTGAGTAATGAATATTATTTACGTGAAATTGTTGTCTTTTCGAGTTTCGCAGCCACTGCTCACCAGCGTGAATCGCTCAAACACGAGGCACAAGTGCGTCTGAACAGAACGAATAACAACTGTACTATAGAACAACTCTACGAACGGTATAGCATTATCGATTATGATTATTGATCGAAAATCAATCGGTAATAATTCAACTAAGATTACGGAGTGAATTTAGAGACGAATATTAAATAAGCAAAAACTAAACTTACGGCAGCGGCAACTGGAGAGCGGGCGTCTAGCAAATAGCAATCAACAGTTGCATTCGAACAACTACAAACAGGTAACACACAATGGCCAACGTCGAACTGGTGGCCGAAGTGCTAAACAGTAAACACGCAGCCCGCCAACCCGGCTTGGGAGTAAACAATAAAAAGACGCGATGAATGATGATAAACTATGAAAGAGTTACCAACCGATTTTGGCCAATAGCCTGCTGATAGTGGTAAACCGGAGCCTATTAATTCGTAAGCCTACAATATTGTTCTGATGCTATGAAGGAGCACGCAAAACAGCAAAGTAGACCCTAAATAGTTTATTTCGTCATAGGAACACGGATTAAATAAAACGTTTTATTTAATCTGTGGTAGGATGGCGGCATATTGTCGTATTGTAGTGGGCACATTATAACATTAATATCTCTGTGGTAGGCACCACTGGTCACCGGTGGAGAAATTTAACGTTTCATTTTTTCCATGGAGACAGATGAGAATTAACCACGAATTAAGATATCTATTTGTGGAATAATTAACAATACCGGAGCGAGGAGCGCGTATTTTACATTTATAATTTTATAATTTTATATGCAGTATTGCAGTATTTCAGTGGCGTACCAATAGAGTGGCATGACAGGCAATGCTGGTGCCGCGGGCCCAGAGCCCCGAAGGCCGGGAAGGGTCCTTCAAAAAATGTGGCGATTTAAAAGAAAACAGATTACCGTTATTACAGAATTTTAGTTATTTATAAAACTAAGTTTTAGCAAAGTTAAATCACTTTAAAGTAAAATAAATGTAATAACTAAAAACATGACTGATTCACGCAACACGCTTATAGGTCGATTTTAGGTTACATTTTATTTTATAGTTTTGTCTCAGTGTAAGAAATGGATAAATAACTTGGCTGAACTTGGTATGCACTATGTTAGCAATATTTATTATGAAATATTAAGTTGTACGTGGACCATAATTATTTCTAGTTTCCCGATACGTGCTTGGTATTATATATCTAAAATCTTGGTACTATATATATGAAAATGGAGCCAAAATGTATAACAATTCATCAATTGAGAACGGCTGGGCCGATTTGGCTCAAATTTTTTTTTAATTGTTTGTAATTGTCAGGGTTTATACAAAAAAAACTTTGGAAAAACTTTTTTTTTAATTTTTTTTTTTTAAATATATATTTATAAAAATGTAAATAACCATAACTTGTACAAAACCCTATACTAATAGGCTAGATATCGATGTATAATGATCAATGAAAAATAAAAAGAAGAAAAATGTCTAACTCCAAATAAATTACAAGTTTTAGTGATTTTTACGAATATTGTCATAATTCTAATTTCAGACGCCCATAAAAAAATTATTATGGATTGACGCTCAACTTATTTTTCAATTTCCACAAACAACTTTTAAGGAACCTTGCGATAAATTTTTAATTTTTGACAGAGTTAAAATTTTTATTGACAATGAATAGCTCAAAAAGAGTCGAAACATTTTATGATGTGAAAAAAATGCCATTACAAACATTCGATGAAAATGTCATGTACCTACCGCCCTATCTACAGGAATCCCGAAAGAAAACACTAAGGGAGAAAAAACAAGAAATAAAAAGGAAATTTTTAAAAACTTAAAATATTTAAATTGGTTATATAAATTCAAAAAGATACATACATTTCAACATTTGTAATTACAAATTAGTGTATGAAGTGTTCTCTTACATCACACATATTATTTACACCATAGACATATTAACGTGTTAAGGCCGGGGCTATACACGGCGTTTTTCCACCGCGTTTTCCGTCCAATTCAAAACTCGTTGTTTCTAAGTACCTAGCTAAGCACGACGGAAGTAATACGCCAAGTTTTAATCCGTAGCAGAAAACGCCGGTCGGCTTGCGTTTTGGCAGACGAATGCCGGAATAATAAAAACGCAAACTCCTAAATTTACATTGTTTTAAATTAGGATGGGCTATACTGCCATACTGGTGACGGTAAACGTCGAGTTTACACCATAGATTTATGATTACAATACATTTACGTGAATATTCAATATTTTATCTATTTGCTTTAATTAATTACTCAATAAATAGTACCATCTAAGTGAATACATTATTTTAATTAATAATTGGTGTTTATAACTTGTGGTTGGTTACCTCAATTTAATTTATGGGAGTATATGAGTATAATTATGTTTTATTGAAGAACAATTTTGTAAATAACAATCATAAAAAAGTTCAATTTGTAGTGTCGTCAAAAAAGTGGTAAGTATATAAAACTAGCTGCATTGAAACCTCCTCCGATTCTCCCTCCTGACCAAAACTTGCAAAGTTGCAAATTGGGGGACGTAAGAACACTCGGAGAAGCATTTGGAACTTAGAACACCTTTGTCAATAATATACATTAACTATAGACTTCAATGAAAGTATGGAACTAACAACTAAATAATATTTTCCATCATGTTATAATAGGTACCGTTTATAAATTAAACCAAAGTATAAGCCAATCAAAATTAGGTAATTGTTTCCAACTATTGTCAGAAAAAAAGCATGACACAAGCTAATAATAACTTGAAATTAAATGATTTCTGTTATATCGAGATTATAATATATACATGATGGGATATTATAATTTAAAACTACAGTAGAACTTCGATTAACCGTCACTGTCGGGACCGGGGCTATGACGGTTAATCGAATAGACGGTTAACGGAAATTTTGCAAAAAAAAACGTGTGCATACATACATGTACACACATTTATTATATTTTTTACGTGTGTGTACTTTAAAAAAAAATTACTTACATATAACATATAAATTAATTATTATAACACATATAAATTATAAACATACATATCACACATATTATAAAAAAAATCTGTAATTTTAGTTTGGTTTTTTGATTCTTTAGCTTTTTTAGCAGCAATATTACGTATTTGACGTAGAAGTAAGACTTGCGTAGCATTTGACAATCGTCTAATCGCCTAATTATTTATTTTTTTCGGCGATGACCGATGACGGATAACAGAGAGTGACGGTTAATCGAAGTTCTACTGTATTTATATAAATTATTAATGAAAAACTATTTTAATAATATGTGGATATTTTTTCGTATCACCATGCTATTGCCATTTGCCTGTATTAACACAGTTCAGTGTTCACTGTTCACCATCCGGTCTCGAGCTGTATAGTATAATTATTTGGAAATGTATAATATAATTAAAAGCCGTCAATAAGTAAGTAAAATTATTAATTTCTTAATCGTGTTTTAAATGCAATAAAAATAATTTGTATATATTATTGTACTTAATTTTCTACAAAACAGATAAAAAACATGTCATTTAATACTGATCATTTCATTATATCAATTGAACAAAAAAAAATATTTGGAACACATCATGTTTGGACTACAAAAACGGTGACAAAAAAATAAAAGATTGGAAAGACATTGGAGAGACTATGATTTACACGGACCGAATGTACATTGAAATTGCCTATATTTAACTCCTTAAAAACGGTCGGTATCCAATCGCCTCTAAAAAAATTATGTGAAAATTATAAATAATATATATTTCATTCTTCAACTTAACATAGGTACTAGGTAGTATATTTAACTGTGTTAAATACAATATACATATAACTGGTGGTATAACAGAGAGTAAAATACATTTCTATTGGGTAATAGAAATTCCTTATCTAAAGAGTATAGGGGTGTTTACCAATTGCCCCCCGTGGCTATTATCGTGATTTAAAAAAAATATACCAGTTGCCCCCAATTGAATGTACCAGTTGCCCTCACATGTTAATATACACACAATACAATATATAGATGGTAAAATAGGGGAGGTAAATATACAAATCATAAATAAAATATAAAATTCAAAATTATAATAATTTGTCAACATAACATGTAATTTTAGATGCGTCCGAGTGGATATAATCATCGAAACCGTATGAATTGTTATTTAGAATGTTAAAAGAAAAATGCTGTGGCTTTGAACTTGAATTCAATCCGTCAATTATTGTATCCGATAAAATAAATATAAAAACAAAAATATTAGCAGATTAGATTTTGAAAAATCGGTTAGTAATTATTATAACAAAACATAATACTTTTGAATTTTATACTATTTATATGTTGACAAATTATTATATTTTGATTTTGTACTATTTTATATTACCAAATCATTATAATTTTGAATTTTATATTTTATTTATGATTTATATATTTACCTCCCCTATTTTACGAGCTATTTATTGTATTTGTGTATATATTAACATGTGAGGGCAACTGGTACTTTTTCCTCTAGGTAGTTTGGGGGGATTTGGTATAAAAAAAGGTATTTTTGGGGGCAACTGGTACATGCCCGTTTTTCAATATTCGATGTAATGGTGTTCAAAGCTTAAAACATTTCATTGATTATCTTAATGCTCTCATAGTGCACTTACACTTGATAGTGAAAATTGCAAGCGTCGAGCTATCATTGTTCAGGCTCTACGTTGATCAGTCAGTGCACAGCATTATTCTGTGGTCAGTGAGTCAGTCAGGAGTCAGGTCCCGTTGGATTAAATTATATTATAGCCATCCCGCCCAGCGTTTCCAGTGAGACACTGAGACATACTTGTGATTATGCGATCAATACATTTTCATTTAGGCAATCCATTACAATAGATGTAGACACGTACTACGTAGTAACTTTAGTATATCTACACACATTAAATAGGTAACTTAAAATATTACTTGTTAGAAGTTCTAACGTTTTCAGAAAATAATTTAGAGTATAGAAAAAGGAGGTTGTTCTCAGTTGAAAACCCGAAGTTTGGATTTCCACGACGTCCTCATTAAGTAGAAGGTACAAAAAATAAATTGTTAATATCGTCTATGTATATTTTAAAATTCCAGAAATCAGATTTTGAATGACTGCATTATCGAAGAAAAAAAGTGATGAGCATGCTTATTCGAATCACCCAGTAGATACCTACTGAGTTTACGACAGTACTATATGGTAATATTGGCAGGTGATATATTATATATATATTGTAATATTATGCCTATATTTTGTAACACCTATTCGCGTTTCAAACACGTCACTTCAACTTAAAGTGTTGTTTTTTTTTTATTAGCTATTAGTATATACTATGATAGCTCAACATATACAATTATACACGAACTTAAAGTGTTATTGAACTTATTTGTTTGTTGTTTTTGGCTCGAAACCAGGAATAATAACGTTTTCTGGTTTTTGGACCCGGTACTCGAAACCTGCCAAAAAATTTCGGTTTCTGAATACGGAACCCGAAACGTTTTTACATGTTTCGACTCCCTAATTAATATCACGTCCAGCATGTATAGAGGTACCTCGCCCGCGGGTTATAATTTAGTTACGGTTCACGCAATCACCACTTCACGGTCTCTCGGTTCTCGGAACGTGCCCTCGGCGGTGGCTACTGGCTGGTGAGCGCGATCTAGTGCCGCCGTCAGTTCATCTTATTGGTCTCCCACATTCCCACGTACGGTGATTTCACCGGATCGATGTCGGGGAAATATGTGGGCGGCGTCGACGGCGCACCTGTTGATTAACGCAAAAGCACGTCGTCGGTTCCCGTCGGCTGGTCCCGATATTGGCGAGAAGTGAGAATCCGTCTCTCGGATGGCACTGCGTCGGTGGTGGTGGTTGGGTGACCTAACCATAGCAGACGTTTTGGACGACGTAACGGATAGCCGATAACAAGTCACAGCTATAAGTACTGAGCAGCGCTGCTGCACCTACTTCTGCGTGCACTCCGATGCAATATTAGTGCAATACAAGGCAGTTGCCTCGCACTTTCTACGGAGGCAGTACTCTGCAGGACCATGTCGTCTGCCGATTGCACGCACTCCTCCACGACTGCTGCCTCATCGCACCGTCACCGACGACCGCGTACGTTTTTAGGGCAACGCCAACGGATGTCGAATGCGACCCGCCACCACCTGTGCGACACGGCCACGATATTGTCGTTGTTGTAATAGAAATATTGCCGAACATAAATAACGTTACAGGTGTATCATTATAATTTACTCGGGCCGAAGACGGTCCGTTTTGATCGAGTATTGTGACACTGAGTGAATCACGGACACTGCTCACACGATCTACACATGTGAGTATATGTTTCAATAGATTTGTTTAGCCAGTGTTTCTCCGGTGCCGCGTCTACCGTGTGACCAGTGATATATTTAATATTATATCTCATTTAATGGGCTCTATTTGGTACTAATCCAGTGTCATCTTAGGTCCATGATTCTCAAGATGCATAATATACAATTTCCCTATGCCTAACGCCTAAATGGAATGTATCTTAAACTGTGTTCATCTCTTACTAATTTCAAAAACCGACTTTTTACAGCGCTTGTATAGTCACACATTACATTGCCATGACTCCGACGCATGTAGGAGACGTCAAAAATTCTGCCTCTGAGGGATTGCCAGCAAAATTTGTTTTGTCCATGAGAACATTGTTCGACATTTTGGACGATAAAAGGACTGGATATGTTAAATTTTCTGGTAAATTTCTTTTCCATTTGTTTTTTTAAATGGAAAAAATTATTTCTTTATTTTCATTTTGCAGAAATTGAGACACGATGGCAAGATGATGGTACAAAAGGTCTACCAAAAGGTGTATTAGATAGTCTTCGAAAAGTAACTCCACCAAATGGTCTGCTGTCTTTTGACCGTTTTTGTACAGGTTTAAAAATGTGCCTACTTCGAAATCAAATGGAAAATGGTCGTCGGGATAATGACTCTGTACGACCTCCATCTGCTCCACTTTTGGATATAGACATTAAACCTAATGTACAATGGACAAATGGAAATATGGCTGCCATTCGACCTACTCAGCAAAGAACTCTTAGTATGCCACAATTAGCTTTGGAGCGTAATAATAAGGAAGTACATCAGTTACCGCAAAAATCCACATCATCATCACTTTTTGGACCACCGAAACCCCCAAGAACTGCAGCAGGCTTAGAACGAAGCTTACAGCTTGCTTCTGGTGAACGCATTATTGATAAGGCTGAAATAAGAACAGCCTTGCAAAATTGGCAGTTGGGAGTACTATTAAATGATCAGAGCAGTTCTAGAAGTGAAAAGCAATCAGGTACTTTGTTATATCTATGAAAATTCAACAAACTTATATTTTAAGTGGTACCCTAACCATAGATAACAGTTTATAACTTAACAATTATAATTTATTTCTAGGAGAACAAACGTATAAAAGAATTAATCAACGACGAAGGGAACCAAGACGCCATACCCTCCAAAGTGGTGTGGATTATAATATGGTGTGTATATTTTATATTTTATTAAAATAATAATTAATAGCTGAAATTATATATTCTTTTTTTTCATTTTTCCATTCAGCTGAAAAGAATAAAGCAAATAGAACAGGAAAAAGAAGTCCTCATGCACGGGCTTCAAGCTGTGGAAAGGGCAAGAGACTGGTACCATAAGCAGATATCTGCTGTACAAGACAAAATGAAATACCTTGGACGAACAAATTCACATACAGTTAGTTAAACAGACCTCTTATAAATCATCAGTATATTTTATCTTATTTCTTACATGTTGGTTACACATTTATTTTTTGTGATCATTAAAGCAGGACCAATGGACTGAAGCACAACAGGAGCGTATTGAGTTACAACGGGCTAGAGTCTTGGAAGTCAATAGACATTTGTCTGCGTTAACAGATGGTGGTGAACGATGGGGTGGTCTACCATTGCACATGAACTTAGCTGTGCATTCATCAAATAATCCTGGAACAATGTTACATCAAAATCCTCAAGTAATGGCTACATTAAAACATCGTAACCATATACTCACTGAGGTTGGTTTTTATTTAATATCACAGAGGTGTATAATTTTTTTTTATTGTCCTATTTGAATTTGTTTAGGAATTAGGACAAAAAAGTGAAAGAATATCAACATTAGAAAGAGAAAAGGCAACTCTTATTAGAGAATTATTTCAAACACGAACCCAGATGGGACGTAAACTAGGGAGAATAGATAACAAACCTGATGGTCAGTCATATTTACCTTAACAACTGGAATCTGTTACCGAGTGCAATAAAAAGATGCTCTGTTAATAAAAATGGTGCTTGAATAGAACAGAAGAAGGAGGATACCATTATTTTTTAGCTCAATTTAGCAGGTACACAATTTAATATTATAAAGTTTCTTCTGTGTTGTGTCAATACAAATGGTATTGTAATGATTGCCAGCCATACCTCAATTTTATCCGTGTTAGATGTTATTTTTAATTAGTCTAAACTTAACTTTTTTTCTCATTTAATGTAAAACAATTTTTAATAAAACATTGCTTAACATATGTGTTTCATGAGAAAATAAGATTGTATTTATAGAAATAATCATGGTTTACAATTAGGTACAGCTATTTAAATTTGTTAAGAGAAAAGTTTAGTGTCTTGTTATAAAATATAATATTATAAATTAATTTTGTTTATAATAAATAATTTACTCAGCGTTTTAAATATGTAAAACTGCCATACAAGTAAAGTAGTTTTCATAATAATTTTAACATAAGTTTTCGTCCACCTTCTGTGATGCTAATATTAATTATTATTCAGATTTAGTAACTGGACATTTTTTTAAAGTATAATGATTGTTGCTAAATTTTTAATATTTAATAAAATAAGATAACCTTAAATTTGTTTAAATAATTGTGTGCCATAAATATTTAATGTACAGCATTAAGTAACCTGATGTAATATATATATATTATTATTATATTTTTGGGATATGGCAATTATTATGTTATTACTTATATAAAAAATATATAATATTTTACAATATGTTGATGTATTTTTTCTGAATTTTATACATTAAATGTTTTTAATTTATAAACATTGTTAAATTTGTATTTTTGAAAAAAATAAAAGGTAAATAAATTATCGAATTAAAAATGTTTTTATTCATATTATAAGATATTAGTTTATACAATGGAACCTAGAGAACTCAAATGTCTACAAGTCAAATTTTTGATAGCGAGAATAATTATATATTTTTATCTACTAATTAATTTTATTATTTGTTGTTTAGTTTATAATATCATATAAATCATATTCAATAGCATTAAGTTATTACAGAATGTATAAATGAAAACTAAATACTTTAATTTAGTATTTTTTAGTGCCTGCTACCTAATAAATATTACTAAAATTGAGTTTGAAAAAAAATGATATTATAATAGTATTTTACTGTTTACCCAGAATCAGAATGGTATGTTACCATAACTGTGTACAGTGGCGTAGCGAACCCCTGAAATGTTAATAAAAATTTAAAAATTATTTTAATGGTCTATAGTATTCGATCAAAAACTAAACCGCCGCCGTGTAAAAAATTGATAAGCCCCCCCCCCCCCCCGAAAAAAATCCTGGCTACGCCACTGACTGTGTAAACTGTGTGCTTGTAAAAATAAATAGAAAAGCTTATAAAATAACATATTATATTACTATGTATGTTATTTTTAAAGAATTTATGCAAAATAAATTTTATATTAGTATATCATATTCAATTATTATTAAGGTATAAAATTCATTTTTTCCCCCTAAGTTCCTACTCAATAAAATCCTTAAGAAAACAGCTAATTGGACTAACTTCTAGAGTATGAAGAAAAAATTATTTAGTACTTTTGGATCATTATTAATATTTTAATGCATCTAATCAAATTTGCATTATATATATTTTGGATTTAGAATTAAATTAATCGATACAGCCAATCATTAAATTCATATCCCAGCACCCCTACTTATAAATAATTATAAAATATGTGTGTAGTGCAGATGTAACCATAGCAACCATTTGACATAATGTATTGACTGTTTTACATGATTAAACTTTAAAGGGATGATAACAATACACTCAGAAGTCAGCTGCAGCCAGCTAGCTAAAGTTGTAGATAGACTATTTTGTTACGGAATTACAGCTATGGTGACTATCGACAAATTCTGGAAATTTTTAAGGACTGTTAGAAAAAAGAGCTGTACAGAGTTAATATTGTGTTTATTTCTGTTGGTTTTAATACCTGCATACTATTTAGTAGACGTTTTTCACATATTACCATGTATGTATAGGCTACCGTCAGGGTCAATTTGGTATTTAACACACGTACTGCCTCTAACGTTTATGGTTTTCAACCTGCTGACAAATTTTGTAGCCGTGATGTACGCAGATTCATCAGTAATCGGCCGATTGCTTACTGTGACTGAGTACACATCAAAAGGTATACAATATTATTGTATAAAAAAAGGTAAATAATAACATTAAATTACGTTTTTCCAGAAGATACTATGTACTGTACTATTTGCCAATGCCATGTTCCTCTAAGGTGTTGGCACTGTGACATATGCAATGTCTGCATATTGACTAGAGATCATCACTGCACTTTCAGCACGACATGTGTTGGCCATTATAACAGACGATACTTCTTATGGTTTTTGCTGTATTTATCTGCAGCCAGTTTTTATGAGATAATCTTGATTGGTTATTATACATATTGCAGGGTGACAATTAAATTTTCTGACTTGATGGTTTTAGTGCCATTTCAATCGGTGATAACTGGCTTTCATTTAACAGTGGGTCAAATTTTTGTAGTTTTACTTACATTAAATCTTATAGCCGTGACAATGTCATCATTGTTGTTAATTTATCACCTTGATAAGGTACGCAAAGGTCTCGTATGCCATGAAAAACAAGATAGTAACTATGATTTTGGCCTAATGCGAAATCTGGAAACTGTCTTTGGGGAAAAATGGTATATAACATGGATTTCCCCATTCATTAAATCAAAATTACCTAACAATGGAATTGATTGGCAAAGCCATGTTGATCAATATAAAACAAAATAGATCAATTTTTATTGATATAACTATGAGATACCTAATAATATAAAAAATTTAAACCATCTGTGATATACAAGTCCAGGCTATAGTACAGTTGTAAGTTTTAATTTTGTAAAACATTTTTTTTTTTTTTTAATTTAAGTTTTTAGTTTTAGTTTTTCATATTATGTATGCTTCAACTTATGTCTGCACTATTCATAATTATACAAATGTTAAAAATTGAACAAATATATTTATTGTATGTTTAACTGCAAATATCTTGTTTAATCAAATTATTTTCATTTAGTTACTCTTAAGCTATCATTAACCACAATGTTAAAAAAATCATTCGGTCATAGCATGAAAAATAATTATTATCTAATGTATAATGAGGATAATTAAAGGAAAAGGGTTTTGGAAAAGTGTAAGTGAAAAAAAATACACCTCAACGTATGCGTCAACAATATTGATATACTTTACTGTGTACAAAAACTCCTGTTATGGATTAAAATCATTAAAACAATGATGTACAAATATCACTAAGTTTCAATTATGAACTATTTGACCAGAATATATAGATGCGTTATTTGTCTGTACATAAATTAGGTAACATTTTAATAATAATTTTCAAATAAACTAAAAAATTAAAAAATAAATAATAATATTACACAAAATCTTTGGTATACAAACAAGTTTATGGTTTCCAGATAATGATTTCATAAAACTATAGTTAGTTAAAAGCAATTTGACATTATGTAGTAATTAAATATAATTATTATTACATTTATTTAATTAACTGGAATACTTGGTCAAGTATGAATACAATAAAAAGTAATTAAAATACAATTTTAATTTTTATAGTCTAATTTAGGAAACTGTCTTGGCTCTTCACAATTAATTATATTTATTAATATATATAATTAACACATATTTTATTTATTAGAGATTGTATTAATGTGATAAAATAAAAATTGAATTGTTGTATGTGGTTATTAATCAAAAATGTATGATTTGATAGATGTAATAATAAATAGGTATTTGGATTATTACAACAAAAATAGTATATTTATATTGGTATAATATGATGACATAAAATATAACATAACAAATGCTTTTTTCCATAAAAAAAGAGACTTGAAATAATAGCGGGGAAAGGTTAAATTTTTTATAATATGGATAATTTTACTCATATTAATTAGAAGGTCAGAAATGTAATACTTAGAAGTAAAAAAACTAGAAAATTAGTTCTATCATCATTAGACCAAATCCTTTTAAACTCTGTTGAAAATGCTTTGAAGTATAATAATTAGGTCACATTTAGTGTAAACATTTGATTGATTACATTTGAATTATTGATGAAAGATTATCATTATTAAATAAAATTGGTTGACAATTGCTAAATAATTGTATTGATGACATATCATCCACCATCTACACCTAGATCACAGACTATTTTTGAAAAATTCTTAAGCGGATGCTTTACAACTAATAAATTGACAATAAACTCATACACTAAAATCATTTTTGTCTAAGAGTACATCAATTTGATATGCATACACAATGTTCCAAATAAAAAATTGTGTACCCATTACCTAGTGCAGTGATGTATGCAAGATAAATTTGTAAATTATTTGAACCTAACTATTCATTAACAACCTGAATAACTATACAGTAAATATATAGTACAAAAAAAGGGGAAATAATAATATAATTAAAACAGAAAAAAGAATAGATTTTACATAAAGTATTAAAATAAAAAAAATAAAATACTTATACATATAATATTAACGAATAAATAAAGTTATTGCTTATCGTAGATAAAAAAAATGGTATGTTGTAGAATAAACTTTAAATATGAGCGTTAACCATAGAATCGATAGAGAATATTTTGCTAAGAATAAGAATTTTATTTTTATGGTAGATTAATTTATAAATCATAAAAACATACTACTTCAACATAAAATATAACAGCAATATTTCATTTTAAATCAATGTTTAAAATTAGTTCTCATTAATCTTTTTAAATGCTTATTGTTCAATATTACATAGGATTATCTTCTATTTTATTATTATTAATACTTAAAATGATGCAAAGTTTATATTATAAACCTTCCAAATACTATATTTATGGAATCTTGATTATTTTCATTGTAATACTTAATATTTTTAAGATTATAAGTTGAGAACAAAAAAAAAAAAAATATTAAACTAATAGAAATAAATATTAACGAAAATACTCTCATTGGTAAGTAAATTAATGAATTAAAAGATTGTGAAATGAGTTTCAACCATATTATGTTAATAATATATAGTTATAAGTTTTGGAATGATAAATAAACCGTGTCACAAGATAATACATTCAGAATACTATGTTTTATAAATTATACTGTCATCAAATAATGAATATTTGGTCATGATTGACTAGTACAAAATCAGTAAAAGCATTAATTGGGCCAATCGCAGCTAAAGATAACTGACTATTCGGACTGCGTACTAAATTTGGACCAAAAACGACTGCTAAATTAGACGAAGTCATTTTATTCAGGTCACACCTATCCATTACCTAAAACAAAAGCCAAGTATTATACTCAAAGAGTTATTTGAATTACCAAATATATAAATTATGGAGTGAAAACAGGTTCAATTTTTATTAAAGTTTCATGTTTTTTTTTTTATGTAATATGTTAAATATTTAAATAATATACTTGTTTCAAACCAGTTTTGACTCCCTGATTTAAATAAATGTTTTATAATATATTTCGCACAGAAAAAAATTGTATCAACTGTTATAATAAACTCGATAAATTGTACAGCATGTATGTGTAGACTGTAGAGTAAAGCAAATGTATGATAAAGTGTAAATGAATAATAAGAAATACTTACTTTTGATAAAAATTGAATAAGGTATTTGAGTAAATGGTAATTATCAAGAGGTAGTTTTTCCAATATCAGAATTTTCACTTGCCTGGGACGTTCATCTTTTGGAAGTGCTAAAATGAAAAGTATATTTAAATATATTTAATTTATGAAATATCATAGAATAAAAATAACTAGTAATACAACATTTCATAAATTAAATAATAATAAGATCTTACTTTGAAATTGTGTAATCTCATCAAACAAATCAAATGTCATTAATGGTTCTTCAAGTTCTCGCAAAAAAGTTTTCAACAAAACAGCTGCAAGATGCACATCATTACCAAAGTCTACAGGTTCGCCTAGATTAATACGACTTTGTAAATCTCTCAAATGATTAATGTTTGCAGATCTTCTAAATAATCCTTCAGTTTCTAAGGCTGCGTAATTAAGAAATATAGTATAAATATCAGAAAACAATACTTATTAATTTGTTTTGAAATTACCATCTGGCAGACTTAGGTACTCAACACACTTTTGTACCAATGGAGGAATTATTTCTCCATCATTGTTTGCTTTTATGAACTGTAATGAAACACCAAATTGTTGGGTTGGTAATGGTTCAGGTTTTTGTTCAGTTTCCTGTTCAACTAGTGAAACTTTTCTTTTATTTAATTTTTTCATTAATTGTTCATCATGACTGAAAAATAAAAGTTTAAAAGTATAACAATATTTTTATTGTTAAAAATAATTACTCTAAAACCGGTGCTGGAATAATTAATTGATCCAAATCCATGAACAGTTTCAATTCTTGTAAATGGTTAACATACATAATTTTTCGGCCAAATTTTGCACTATAAGTTACATATATGCTTATTATTCTCGGTTAAATAGACACAATATACTTCATTAAAATTCACCTAATTACAGCTCTAAAAAGCTGCCAAACCACTTTGATAAAACCAGTTGGGTGTACTAAATACAGAGCCTTTAAGTTTTTTTTGTATTTTCTATCAAATGCTCGGTATGCTTGCCATAGCCACGATAGTGTTGGCTTATTTTTACTCGTCAACCCATAATGGAAGTAGACCAAGCTGTAGTCTTGTTCTACAAATTTGTCCAAAGTGTACATTAAATACCTATTAATAATAGATAAAAATAAGTTATTAATAAGTTAAAGTAAAATATTTAATTAATTTTTAAAGATGTATGTTTAATAGCACAACATTAATTGTTTGTATTAAGAGGATGTGAAATCTGTATGTGTTGTCTCCGTCATACAAGTGCGTAACATAGTAAATTTTACACTTAGTAGATCATGTTTAGCTCCGTTAGTATTAAAATTAGAGTGGATTGACCTCCTTTAAAATTTAAAGGTAAGATTATTATCTGAGGCCCCATGTAGGTTTTTTTAGATATTATTATTTTTGAGTAAGTTATGATCATTTTAAATTTTACAGTTTCAAAAAAGGTCATAACTTACTTAAAAGTAATACCATATAAAAAAAGCTTATATGGGGATCCAGATAATAATCTTATATTTGAATTTTATAGGATTATTATTCACTCTAACTTTTAAACTAAAGGCGCTAAAAGTGATCTGCGAGCGTACAATTTGCTATATTTTGCACTTGTAAGATGGAGACAACACTTGCGGGTATCACGTTTTCTTAACAACTTTCATTAAATGTATAGATAAATAGATATATTAAACCTTAGAAGTCTTGGATGATCAACTTCTTTATTGCTTGGTAATTTACAAGCCGAGACAACAATGATTTTACGGCCAACTGCATCATCACCAACGACATCAACAACACCACATTCAGCAACATCGCTAAAGTCTTCATCTTCTTTAGACTGAAAAAAAATTTAGTTATCCAATACTATTATAAACTTAAGTAATTAAATACAGCCTATTATCAATCAACATAAAAAGGTAAGATTAACATGAAACAAAAGTTGAATGTATAAATATAATTAATAATATACATACATCATCTGCTTCCAAATCATCTAACAAATTCCCTGTGGCTGTATCATTTACAGATGTTAAGCTTTCAACTTGAGGAGCATTTACTAATTCTTCTTCAAAATTTTCTTCAATAGTACCATCAGAAACAGGAGATTCCATGTAATCTAATGTTCCTACAGCCCCATTTACATTAGCTAAACTTTTCTCCAAGTCTGGTAAAAAATAAAAAAAAAACAAAATACCTAGTTTTGAAATGGTCATTAAAAATCACTAGTGTACTGATAAAATAACTACAATTTACCAATATCTGCAGATGGACTTTGAAGTTCAGTATCATCAAATTCTAAGTTTGGCTCATAGTCATGGTAATCAGAAAGACTAGGATATGGTTCTTCGTTATCAGCTATTGCAACTAAAAAATTAACAAATAAAGAATTTTAAAAATTTTAAATTAAATAAACATATAATGAAATAAATAAATGTTTGTGAATTGCTTTATTTAATTATAAGGGCCTGTCCGCTTAAGAGTTGAAAGTATGTCCCCAGCATTTGTCTTATATTCTGGGTACATCATAACATGAAAAACACGGCAAATATACATAGGTATAGCATTATTATAGAATTTAAAATTAATTTGGATATTATTAAATTTATTGGACAGTGTATTTATTGAACATGGTATTTTTTAAATAATAGTTATGTATATTTTATTTTATATGGTAAAATAATCTGTAAATAAATAATTATATGTAATAAAAATACAGAAATATGTGCTAAAAACATCCAAATATGTGAGTAAAAAATTTAATTTAAAAAAAAATACAATTAAAATTATTAAATTTCAAAATGATTTG